TACGACGAGTGTGTGTACTNTATATATAATATATATATATATATATATATATATATATATATATATATATAACCAAAACAATTTATTATATATATATATATATGATCTTATCCTCGAGTCTGCTTCCCTTTAATAATGTGTTATAGCCGCAACACAGACCTTTGTATCGACAGGGCTATCTGTCATCACAGTCCATGTGTGGCGATGACATGTCACACACAAACTGTTGTATGTTATGCTCTCTTCTCTGCACTCACGTATGGCTCTCTGAGCCTGATGTGAGTCTGTCTCCATCTCTTACCTAGCTCTAAGCTGTCTGTTGTCCAACATTAGTCTGACATGAATCTAACGTTAGTCTGACATTAATCTCACTCTATTCTACTCCTTGCATGGGTTACCTTGGTGGGGGTGTATCGTGTGCCCTGATGACATCGTAGGGTTCTGTCGCAGGGTTTGAGACCATCGGACACATTGCGCACTTCAATCTGCGCGAAGATTACCTTCCATTTAAGGAGATCATAGGTCGGATAGTCATAGACAAGAATCAGCACATCAAGACAGGTAGGTAGTTGTTTTCGAGACAGGTAGGTAGTTGTTATTTAGACAGGTAGGTAGTTGTTTTTAAGACAGATAGATAGTTGTTATTTAGACAGGTAGGTAGTTGTTATTAAGACAAGTCGGTAGTTGTTATTAAGACAGGTAGGTAATTGTTATTAAGACAGGTAGGTAGTTGTTATTAAGACAGATAGGTAGTTATTATTAAGACAGATAGGTAATTGTGATTATGAGAGGTAGGTAGTTGTTGTTAAGACAGGTAGGTAGTTATTATTTAGACAGGTAGGTAGTTGTTGTTAAGACAGGTATGTAGTTGCTATTCTGACAGGTAGGTAGTTGTAGTTAAGACAGGTTACTCGGTTGTTTCTCAGATGTAGTCGTAAACCTATTAGACACATGGCAGTCATGTATTTAGCGTTTTAGCGTTTTAGCGTTTCAGGAGTTTTCTAAAACCCTAAAACCCTAAATCGCAACGTGTCATCGCCTCAGCACCGAATGCCATAGTACAGCAGCCCACCACCGGTACCGTTGGCTGTGGACTCTCGCGTCACGAAACCTACCCTCGTGGTGCAAAGAACCATAAAACCCTAAAACCCTAAAACCCAAAACCTTAAAAGCTACCTACTATTCGAGAGTATCCATGTGGTTTTGCTCGTTCAGGGTTGTAGGGTTGTCTGAACCCTAAACCCTAAGGGCATATCCGGTCTCCTTCCTGTGACTTGCATGGCAGTTGCCATATCCTTCCACACAAGGCATTCTAAATCCATAATGTAAAGCATTCTAAATCCATAATGTAAAGCATTCTAAATCCATAATGTAACGCATTCTAAATCCATAATGTAACGCATTCTAAATCCATAATGTAAAGCATTCTAATTCCGTAATGTAAAGCATTCTAAATCCATAATGTAACGCATTCTAAATCCATAATGTAAAGCATTCTAAATCCATAATGTAAAGCATTCTAAATCCATAATGTAAAGTATTCTAAATCCATAATGTAATGCATTCTAAATCCATAATATAACGCATTCTAAATCCATAAGGTAAAGAATTCTAAATCCATAATGTATAGCGTTCTAAATCTATAATGTATAACATTCTAAATCCATACAATATGTGCCATACGCAGTGGTCAACAAATTGGGAAATATCGACACCACTTTCCGATTTTTCCAAATGGAAGTGGTCGCGGGGGAGAAGAACTTCATAACAGAAGTCAAGGAAAGCGGATGCCGTTTCCAATTCGACTACTCCTGTGTTTACTGGTGAGTTAAAACAAACCAGCCCCGCCCCAGGCTTAACGCTCACAAACCTCGCATACACGCACACACACACACACATATATATATATATATATATATACATACATACACCCCTGTAACGTTCAGGCACACAGAGCGAACATTCTCGCACACGCGGATAACACACACACACTACTCAAGCAAACAACACGTGAACCGGAATATACATAAACAAGTAGCACACAAACATAACTCACATCACATGACCCCTGCTCAATGGGTTTCTTTGTTAAACTAGGGCAGCCACCTGGTAGATGCCTACATATCTATACACACACGACTATATCATATATACACACAACTATATCATATACACACATGACTATATCATATACACACACGACGATATCGTATACACACACGACTATATCATATACACACACGACTATGTCATAGACACACATGACTATATCATATACACACACGACTATATCATATACACACACGACTATATCGTATAAACACACGACTATATCATATACACACACGACTATATCATATACACACACGACTATATCATATACACACATGACTATATCATATACACACACGACTATATCATGTATACACACGGCTATATCTTGAGCTTTAGTAAGATATGCTGAGCCGTATTCGATAGGCTTCTATTAAACATACATATATGCAAATGTGGATTTATTATATTATTCATTGTCTTCGCGACTACGAACCTAATAGAATATCCGTTACACACACCACAGGAACTCTAAGCTTAGCACTGAGCATTGGCGGCTGTTGGAGACTTTCACGAAAAAAGATGTCATATGTGATATGATGGCTGGAGTGGGGCCCACAGTCATTCCGGTATTTGAGTGTTCTAATAAACACAAATTATATATATACCTATATCTATGGCTATATCTTTCTATATTTATATATATATATATACATATATATATATGTATGTGTGTGTGTGTATATA